GTGTAGAAGAGGTAGGAGAGGTCCGTGGCGAGGGAAGCCTGGCGACACATCTGCAAGTCCAGCAACATAACTTCGACAGGAACTTCCTTTTCGTTGTATCTGGAAAAATATATTTAGACTATTAGATCTTTCGTTTATATGTGTTAGTAAACGTGCACTTTATATTCCCGGAATTCGGTTCAAATTAATACTTTAGTTATAAGGACCTAAAGAGTACGTTGTTGGTCCAGATGTCGCCGTGGCACAAGACGTCGAAGGGGGGGACTCCTCTGATGTTGTTTTCCATTATCTCTATTACTCTCCCTTTATTTCCGCTGAGCCAGTTCTCCGCCCTTTCGTAGCCGCCAACTCGCTTTAGCATGTCCTTCACCATCTCCATTTGATCGGAAAACATTTCCTGCGTTATTTCTTTCGCGTTATCGGCGCAGTTCAGCCAATCCTGGTCCAGGACTGGGTACTTCTCGGCCAGGTCTGGGGTCTTGGCCTTGAGGAGGTACGAGGCCGCGTGGAGTCTGGCCAGTTCCTCGAGGACGAGCTTGGTGTGGGCGACGTCCATGCCTCTCCTGCGGTCGAACATCTTGAAGCCCTTGGCCCGGAGGTCTTCCAGGAAAATAACTTCTCGGTTTTCCTCCAAGGACGTGTAGAAACACTGGGGAACCCTTAGAGGTTTCTGGCCGACTTCCTTCAGTTGGGATTGGATATCTTGCACAAGATGTTCATAAAACATTGCTTCTTTCACAAATACTACATAAGAGAGCTCTACAAACGCCCTAAAGCGCTTAGGATTATATTTCACGACGTAAGAAACACTTTGCTTGGTTCCATGTAGTGAATAAATCGCATCAATTCTATCCACAGAGCTTCCAAAATTGTCTCCTTTCTTGGTGAATTCCTGGACCGCGAAGGAGACGAGACGAGCGTCGCTTCCCTTGTCGTTCTTGAGTGCCGCCTCGACGCTCTCCTGCGTGATCTCGCTGTCAGACGCTCCTCCTCCCGCTTAACCCTCCTCACGGAACGCAATGAAGTCGATCGTTCAAATACATGGAAAGCAATGATGAAAGTGACTTCAATCACGTAGATATATAGATAAATATAATAACAGACAGATAGATATATGGATACATTGATAGATAAGTTTATTAAGTAAAGTTTTAGTTACAAGGGTAAAAATGTTACTTTACAAAGTTATCATTTAAGTGTCTAATACAATAGGGAATAGTAGACATATAATATTTGGATGTATGACGAAGCTGTCTGCTTGATTGGCGCAAGTCGGGAAGCAGGTGATAGATAGGTAGAATAGATAAATAAACCAAAACAGGGTTTAATGTCATGGAAGGAATGATCCAAGTGTTTTAATCACGTAGATACATATAATGACTGGCAGATAGATAGATAGATAGTCACACACTGCGCCGTCGCCCTCCACTGGAATATAATATGCATCAATTCAATAAAACAAGCATTGATACTATGATAATGAACATAATAATGAATTCTAACAAACAGATGTTAGAATAGGACCATTCATTTTGCTCATGCTCTAAGAATTTGGGATCACTTTAAAAAGTTGTCTTGCCAGGTCGGTTTGTATCTTTCTCAAGCTGATCTTGGAAGACTTCGCTGAGGATAAACCTGCTTCTCAAGTGGGAGGGGAAGTCTGGTCCTATTCATACAACAGCATATATATATATATATATATATATATATATATATATATATATAATATATACATATATATACATATATATATATATATATATATATATATATATATATATAAATATATATATATAATATATATAATATAATATATTATATTATACATCAGAGAGAGAGAGAGAGAGAGAGAGAGAGAGAAGAGAGAGAGAGAGAGAGAGAGAGAGAGAGAGAGAGAGAGAGAGAGAGAGAGAGAGAGAGACAGACATAGACATAGATTGTATGGCAAATTATTTCTCTCTTAGATAATATTATATCTATTAAGTTCTTCTTTAGCTTTTTCTTCTCTATGACGGTAATCTTAAATACGCCATATACCTGATAGCAACAACTACTGAGTAAAATGAAATATTTTAACATCTAAATGTGAAAAAAAATAGAATGAAAAAAAAAAAATTATCTATTGTCTCTACAGTGTAATGTCACCTAATTTTGTAATTATTTAAACAGAAGAGAGAGAAGAGAGAGAGAGAGAGAGAGAAGAGAGAGAGAGAAGAGAGAGAGAGAGAGAGAGAGAGAGAGAGAGAGAGAGAGAGGGAGAGAGAGAGGGAGAGAGAGAGAGAGAGAGAGAGAGAGAGAGAGAGAGAGAGAGAGAGAGAGAGAGAGAGAGAGAGGAGAGAGAGAGAGAGAGAGAGAGAGAGAGAGAGAGAGAGAGAGAGAGAGAGAGAGAGAGAGAGAGAGAGAGAGAGAGAGAGAGAGAGAGAGAGAGAGTGGCAACATAGTGATACAAAGAGACAGTAGATAACAAATACCTTTTCTCATTATATCATTTTTATTACGC